GGGGGGGGGGGGGGGGGGGGGGGGCATTTTTGCTCCCAGAAGCCTTCCCTAGGGCCCAGGGAAGGCAAATAACAGAGCACCCGGGCTGGGGTGGCGCAGCTCCTTCCCCCAACCGCATGTCCCTTTTTGCCTTCCTGGGCCTCAGGGAAGCTTCCTGGGTGAAGCAGTAAGACAGCGAGGGGGATCCCGGAACAGCTGATCGTCGGAACAGCTGATCGTGGGAAGGGGGGGAAAGAAAAAAGAACTACCTTAAGGAGTGACTGTGCGGGGGAGAATACAGTCAGCCATGTCACGCCTGCATGATAAAGACTGACTGGGCGGGGGGTGGGTGGGCAGAGAACGGCGGGGCCAGCCAGGGCCACGATTTTCTGGTTCTCTGAACTGCGCAGAATCATAACAACCGTTCTATAGAACAGGTCCAAACTGGTAGAACCCCATCCCTGGTTGTGTTTGACATGGAGGGGGGGAGCATGGGGTCCTGGCCACTAAGCACTCTGTGGGCCAGATCCGGCCTGAGTTTGGGCCTTGAGTTTGACACCCATGCAGTAAAGAAATAACTCAGTTTTTCGTTCTTGGTTCCTTTGGCCTTGCACGTACTCATTTTGTGCCTACTCTTGAGGCAAAGGAACCAAATGTTTTTTTTTTAAACCCTCTTTCTTTCTAAAAAAATAACATATTTTTAACCTGTTTACCATGTGTGTTAGCCCTGGCTTCCAGCTGAAGTCATCTCTGAGTGGAGGATATTTTCTTGCCAATCTTCATTATTTCTTCACACTTTACATAAGGCAAATATAAACTATATCTGCTATTGCCACCTAGTGGTCAAAAGTCAAAACATTCTTTTAGGAAAGGGGAATGTTGCATCTCTGGAATTTTAGTCACATGGTTGCAGGTTGGCTGTCAGATAGAGAGTGACATGAATAGGGACTAAACACCAAGCAATGCTCCATTTTACATGTGTAACCACTGGTGACTAATTATATTGGCTTTATAAAGCTTAGTTCTGCACCCCTTGTCACATTCAGAATAAGAGAATTCAGAAGCGTTCCTGAAGAACTCACAATTCACAGAGACCTGTTGATGGTTCACATCTCCTGTCCTTTGCTTTATTTATTATATATTATTATGTAAGCAATTGAACCTGGACAATACGCTGTTCATAAAGTACTTATGTATGTTAAGGAAAATGTATAAATAAATTATTATTTTTTTAAAGAATCCTTGGGTAGAGTCCTTTGCCAATTTAGGCCATTCTCCTCAGATTGAAGCTTTCAAGTCACTCTATAGCTTTGCTCCTCTGTCTTAAGCATACAAATTTCTGGAAATTTCTCTTACAACTTGTCATGTTTTTGTTCTCAGGTTTTTCTTAGCCTTTACGTATTCCATACCAAGAAGGCCTAGGCTCTGGAATTCTGCTGCCATGGAAAAATCAAGATCCCTGATCCGGCAAGTAATTGGCCACAAGATGCTCTTTGTTGTCTTCCTACTTTTCCTCACAGATATTCTTGTAGAGGTTGTTGCCATAACAAATGGGACCACCCCCGTAAATAAAACAGATAGTTTAAATATAAGTGCCTCAGGTTTTCCAGCATCTTCTCAGACGACTGAGGAGAATTTTATGACATCTGTTGCATCACCTCCTGATGCTACCACGCCTGACACTCTTAACAGAAGTTTGAGCACTCCAGAGCAACCAGCACTGTCCCTCAATGCAGCACCTCTAGTCCCCAAACAGGAACTGCAATCTGACACGGCCGTGACCACTGCTGTCCCAGAAGACACTTCCTCCCCTATGCGAAATGAAAGCATTGCCTCTACCAAAGAAAAACACCCTCTTAAAGAAACAACAAAGGTTCAAAAATCCAAACCACCTCCTGTTCAGCAAGAACTTGCCTCTAAAATGATAGTCACATCACATTTCATTAGTGAGACGGTATCTTCTCCAACAAAGGATTCGGGAACCAGATCCCAGGGGAGCTTCTTTAAGAAATCAAGTGCAACTGCCTACCCAGAAACAACAAAGAGCAGAGAACCAAAAGATGACAGAAAGGGGCCAACACCACCAAGTCAAGCTATTCCAGAATTAACTCAGATTCCTGAGATTGGCGGCCATTATATGTCTGGTCCAACGCCACCAAGTCAAGCTGTTCCAGAATTAACTCAGATTCCTGAGATTGGCGGCCATTATATGTCTGGTCCAACGCCACCAAGTCAAGCTGTTCCAGAATTAACTCAGATTCCTGAGAATGGCAGTCACTACAAGTCTGGTCCTTTCACCACATCGGTGACACCTATCAATGATGTACCTATATTTGACTCTTCTGACAAAAGACCCTCAGAGAAGAAAAAGTCTGTCATCATTTTGGCCATCGTTTTTTCCGTCCTGCTGCTTGTAGGTCTCCTAGTTTTCCTGTACTTCAGGCGCCGCCGTCACTCTGGCTCTACCAGCTTCAATTCCCCAGAATGGGCTGGACAAGCGACGTTGCCAGATGATACGGGCTTGGATAAGGACGTGGAGCAACAGGTGGGGTCTGTAGGGGAAGGGGAAACCCGGCGTGGGACTCTTGTGACTTTCTTTGGGAAGCGTCAGTCTAGGGTACCTTCGATAGCTATGGAAGAAGTCAATGGGAAAGGAGGCAAGGAGGAAACAGAGAAGTTGCTTTGTGAAGAGGCTGAGAATGGGTCCTCTTCGGAGGCAATTGGAGATGCCAATGGCAAAGTACCAGAGCCCCTTAAGGAGTCTTCTCAGGAGTCCCCAGCCTCCAATAAGGACTAAATAGGACTTTCTTTGTTTTTCCTTGAAGACGTTTCACTTCGCATCTAAGAAGGTTCTTCTGTTCAGCTTAGATAAGAAGCGAAATGAAAGGAAAAACAAAGTCCAGTTTGCCTTTTGAAAAAGCACATCTGGGGTACCCATGACTCAGATGACTGAGAATCTCCATACACATTTCTCTAAAATCAGAATTCCTCCTAAATCAGAATTTCTGGCTTTGCAGGTTGGTGGGGGGAGGGGTGGGTGGGAGAGGGGATGGTTGAAAGCACAAATGCACAAATGGAGTGCACACTCGCTCCACTGCTCCCGCATATGGGGATGTGTGTATGTGCACACACTCACCCACCACTCCCACTGCCCGGTTCCGAATGGCTCAAGGCCCAGCAGTGGGCTGCGGCCCAGGAGTCAGGGACCCCTTTCCTAAATCGTGATCAGAAGATAGATTCACCTCTTAAGCTTCTTCTGGAGCAGACCATTTTTATGATTTACATTAGGGGTGTCAAAACTCAGGGCCCGGGGTGCTTAAATCTGCCCCGCAGGGTGTTTAGATCTGGCTCGCGGGGCCACCCTGGAAACAGTGAGGGACCGGCCCATGGTGCCTCTGCCAGCCAAAATGGGCACCTGAGCTCCGTTTCCAGCTGTGACTTGATTTCATTGAGGGCCGCATCAGGGTTGTCAGTGATGGGATTCAGCCAGTTCGTACCACTTTGGGAGAACCAGTTGTTAACTTTCTGAGCAGTTTGGTGAATTGGCCGTTGGAAGAAATCATTAGGGCAGAGAACCAGTTGTTAAATTATTTGAATCCCATCACTGAGGGTTGTGCTTGATCTCAGGGGGGGCAGGGGTGGGTGTGGCCTACTCAATGTCACTCATGTCGGGGACGCCTGTGGCAGCCCGAGCGCTCTGCCAGCGAAAATGGGCTCCCGAACTCCCTTTCCAGCTGCGACAGCCTCTTGCAACCCTCTGCCAGCGAAAACGTAGCTCGGTAGAGCCGCTCACTTTCACTCCATTTTTGCTGGCAGAGGGTTGCAGGAAGCTGGAAAGGGAGCTTGGGAGCCTGTTTCCGCTGGCAGAGCATTTGGGCCGCCACAGGTGTCCCCAACATGAGTGACATTGAGCAGGCCACACCCACCCCGCTCCCCCCCGAGGTCAAACACAATCCTGATGTGGCCCTCAATGAAATCGAGTTTGACACCCCTGATTTACATAGGCATCGTTAGGTGTATCTTATTATCCTGCAGGATAGAGGTATCCTATGTCCTCTATAATCTGAGCGTTAGGTTAAGATGTCCCTTGTTCATATGTGAGGGATGAGTGGAAAGATGGAGGAGTGAAAGAGAGATTTATCTCCCTCAACTTCTCTTTTGAAAGTCCTCAGCGTCTCCATTTCTCCTGCTTTATTATAAATGATAGATAGGTATAGCAGACCCCAAAACAGAGAGAAATTTAAACATTGGCCCAGCCCAGTTTCACCAAGTACTTTTTTTAAATTTTTCCTCTTCTTTTAAAAAGGTCAGTGGGAGGTTGGATAGTTAACAAATTTCCAGGTGATGGCAGTGCGGGGTTGTGTTTGAAGAATAATGAGCATTAATCAGGCATTGATCGGGCTTTGAGTCTGTATTGTAGGGGAAGGTCTTGATCGCCATTGCCAGAAAGAAAGTATATTAACAAAAGTTCTGCTTGCTATTTTTTTTTTTATGATGCTGCAAATCGCTTGGCTGATTCATGTTCAGAAGTGAATGGCTTTTATGCATACATATAGAAATATCCTAACTAGATTGTTTTATTAACTCAAGATTTTATTAAATCAGATTTTTCATTGTATCTGCTCTCTGGGAATGTCTACAAAGGTAAGGCTTTATATGGGCATCCCCAAAGAGCTGATATAGCTGTCAGTAAGATACATGTAGGTTTAAATGCTTTTATTTAATTCAGAGACCTTTCCAATTATTCTGCAGTGCTTTGTCCTTCAGAAGTTCTAAGTTTAAAACAGCCAGAGGAGAGAGTATTTCTTCCTTTCTAAAAAGTCTTTGGATGAACATAAAGGCAAAATGGAAATATCTAGTAGACACAATGTACAAAATGTATAAATACAAGTGTTTAAATTTTGAATTATATGAACATATATATTAAGTAGTAAATATTATGCTTTGCCTGTCCTTGCTCCTATACCAAAGGTTTGTTTCTGTAGGTTCCAGTGGATTTCAGAGAATTTAACAGGTTAAACTAGTTCATCTTATTACATAACTTTTGCTTAATTTTTTCCTAGGGTAATAACATTTGATCCTGAATAATTTTACTCTTGATGCTGAATAATTTCAGAAGAACCACTTAACAAAGAGCTAATTAATAAATCAAAGTCCTTGATTTATGACTATTCAATTAGGAACAGTTCAAAGTTATGATGGCCTTGGAAGAAGTGATTTAGATCATATTTGCACTTATGACCATTGTACCCACCCCCCACAGTCATGTGGTCACAATTTGGGCATTTGCCAAACTTGCATTTATAACCCGGTTGCAGCATCCTGTGGTCACATGAGTGCAATCTGCTAGTTTGTTTCCAGCAAAAAGGCACCCATTTAGTGACTGTTTTTCACTTAATGACCATCATAAAAATTATTGCAAAGTTGGGTCTGACTCAATTTACAACCGCAGCATCTAAATGGGATGGAGATTCCCATTCTAGTTGTGCTCATACCTGTAGATAAACAATGGCAGAAATTGCAATGCAATCAGCTATGACTGATCTCTTGGGAATAAATCCCATTAAATTGAATGAGACTTATTCTGCATGATAGTGTCTGGAATTGCTATCTGAAAAAGGCAATCTTTTTTCTCATTAGCCAGTCTTCAACTAATATATTATACAGCAGTATTTCTCAAACTTAGGAAGTTTTTTGTGGACTTCCACTCCTAGAATTCTCCAGTCAGCCATGCTGGCTGGGAATTCTGGGAGTTGATCCATACTTCTTAAACTCACTGAGATTGAGAAATATTTCCTCAAGTGCTCATAGACTTAATGAAGATATCTGGCAAAATTGCAAGAAAATGCTTCTTTTCCACACACTTCATTTGTCTATTCTCCCGTGAGGCAAACAATTAGAAGGCCAAGCTTGTGTTTTCTGAAAATAATATAAAGGCATTCCTATTTGTTTTCAAAAACAAGGAAAACTTTGCACAGAGGTAATTTGTGATGTGATGGGTTGGGCTGGGGGGGACCAAGATTGGGGAACCTTCCAGACTAACAAATAACCCAGGTCTTGTGGAACTAAGCTAAGACTTCCTCAAGTCAAGGTAGATTCTAAGTGACTTCATGGATGTGTTCCTATAATTTTCTTGGCAAAAACACAGTCATGATTTGGCATTATCTTCTTCCCTGGTTAGCCCTGATACTGCCTATAAGTTTCTCATTTCAGCACAAAGCAGCTCAGCCCTGCTTAGTGAGACGAGATTGACCAGGAATATTATCACCTTCTAAAACTCTATGGAACTAAATTTTTCTAATAGAGCTTCATTGTTCAAATTATGTGTGGTAATCATGTCACACGCATTAAAAACAAACAAATAATGAGTGTTTGCTGTCTCCTTTTTAACATAAAATGTGAGGCAGCCTTTGCCACCACAGTTAAGAAGACACGAAGACAGCATAATATTTGTGAAATTTGGTTTAATTTCTGAGTTTTTTGTGCCCGTACTTATTTGCTTGTTGAATTGATATTCTCAGCTTTTATTTAAAAAAAAAAAACCATCTGTCTCAATTCAAACAACTCTTTAAAGTCAATCCAGTGAACTAACCTTTTTTTGTGGGGCCCTTGGTAGTTTGGTTGTCTTTTTGCAGACATTTCATTACCAAACTAGATAACATCATCAGTATTAGCGCACCAAGGACTCCACCGTTTAACCCCCAGCTACAAAGTTTCTCTTCTATTGGTACAACTTTATGTGCAAGAGTCCCCCATTACATTAAGCTATGGCTTGCTTAATTTTACTTATTGAATAAACCAGTCATCCTAGTTCATGCTAAACTTGGTTTGCAAGCCATATTTGCTGCATCTGGAGAATATGCTAAGCCATAATCCAGTATTGTAGCTTGGCATAATCAATGAAGTCACTTGATCTCCTTCAAATAATTGGGGCCTTTTGATAGCGGTTGTTAGAAAATACAGTTAGACATTTCTAATAAACAGCAGGCCAACTACACAATGGCTGAAGATAAATATTTAAGCAAACGAATCAACTAATAAAGACAAATAATAAACGGTGGTAAGGAAATTATTACATCATTTAATGTTTTCCAGCACTTAAGGGTTGGTGAGAGGATTTGTAGATCCTTTCCAATTCTATAATTCTGTTTTTCCATTATTAGAAATTGAGAACCTGTGATCCTCCAGAGGTTGATGAATTATACTCGAGATGGCCAGACAATTATCAGTAATACTCAGCTTCCTCACCTGTCTGTGTACCTGATCAAAATTTTAAATCAATGTCTTCTCTAAAGGAGAACTTTCTGAGGAACATCTAGCATGCTTCAGAAGATACTGTTTGATGATGACTGGTTCTAAGATTCCTTAGAGGGGAATGTATGACAGCAGGGGATGTCAAAAATATCAAGATGGCGACTACCACTACCCAGCCATTTTATGTGCATATGTACGAAGAGTGGGACTTCAATCACAGTCTTTTTTTATATACATTTCCCCACTAATAGTGTGCCTGACAATTGTTTTTGTTTGTTTGTTTCATTGGTTTCCATTCAGTTTTATTAGATCTAGGCCTTAGTGAATTTGAATTTCTCTTGTGTAAAACTCACTGAAATGAAGAGGAGCTAAATAAGAACTTATGTGTCAGTTTCTGACTTACTTTTCTCTTCCATTCAGCTTCGGCAGAATTCTAAATTCTTTATAATTTCTGAGCATTTTCTGTAATCATTAGTTCAATATTTTTTATTCATTCATTTCAGAAGTGTATTTTATAAGAGTCTGTGGAGTTTCATTCAAGTATACTCAATAAAAAGTGTTAACTTCCATTTAAATGTTTTCAGCATGGTTCTTGATGAAGTTGAAATCAGTTATTATGATCAGCTTGCCTTCATTTTAATTCTCTCCTCTCCGCACAGAGGGGCCTGTAAGAGAGACCTCAGACCTACCAAGAATGATTTAGTCCAGTGTTTCTCAACATGGGCAGCTTGAAGTTGTAACTTGGGGAAGCCGACTGAGGAATTCTGGGAGTTGAAGTCCACACATCTTTAAGCTGCCCAGTTTGAGAAACACTAATTTCCAGGTCTATGGATTTCAGTTCCCAGAATTCTTAATTATGTTCCCATTGACTGGGGTTTATGAGAGTTGAAGTTGACACATCTGGAGAGCAGCAATA